GGCATCTAGAAATATCCAAACATTTAAATTCATTAACTGAAAATAATCCCTTACATTTATGTAGCATTTTACTGTTGTTAGAGCAATTTCATATACTCCATTTCATTTTGTTCCTCACAACAGCCCTGTGAGGTAGGCTGAGTAAGTTACAATTATTTTATGTGAGGCAATGGATGCCCAAAGATGAGAAATTATTTATATAGAAGATATAGATCTAGTGTATGGTAGAGTTAAGGTGATTAATTTAAATACTTTTTAAAAAATGAAGCCAAATATTTTTATATCGAGAAAGTGTAATGACTAGTGGTTTTCAATATAAATTACTTTAAAACTTTGGCTAGTATATATCTTATAGTATGAATTAAGTATAAATTTGATTTTAAAGAGTCTCCCTTAAAAGGCAAACTAGACTCAGTGCTTTGGTACCTAAGATATATTGGAAAAGTTAAATCAAAGCAAAACGCATTATTCTCCTAGCCCTTAGGCTCTCCAAAAAGTTCCAATACGAATAGGAATGCCTTTTACCAATTACTTACATTTTGACTTAACAAAAATTGGTCTAAACTTAAGAAGCTCTAAGCCAAAGCGAACATATTCACCTACCTTCTGCCCTATATACTGTGAAATCTTCTGTATGTCTATTCCAAAGGACCAGCTTTTACTGGATGGGTGCCATTAAGGAAACATATCAGTTTAAACTAACATAACGCAAATGGTTATAAATAAAAAGTTATTACCTTATATTGACCCAGAAATAGCAAATACTGTTTTAATTTAATTGAGTAGTCTGAGGAGAAAGTACTATGGCAATCTCTGGTATTTATAAGCCAATACTAACCTTTATATGGCATGCCCAACACTATCTTTTCAACAAAATATACTAAATGTAATGCTTAACTCCAAATTACTAAAAAAACAACGACAACAAAAAACCAACCTTAAAGTATTTGCATTAATCAAATATTCCAAGTAACAAAGCTATCATAGGTAACATACCAGGATCACAAGTATTGGCATAATGTGAATACTGTAAGATACAAACAAAAACTACACTGAACATGAGGTATGCTTTCTGTGATGATTAAAGAAACATTCATGATCTCATAATGCTCCAGCACTGGCATTATGAAATGTACATTTTGTTTAAAAGTAACAAATAACTTTATGGTTACTTGGATTAAGTAGACTTATGCTGACCATTCACTTCCCTAAAAGAATATATCCAGTGTAAAGATAAAATCAAGGGAGAAACTTTTACAGATCTATTTTATGTGAGTACATAAAAATGAACATATTATGTGTAATACACCTATCAGAATATGAATTTTTAAACTATAACAGATTTACCTTTTAAAATTTCTGATATTTAAGATGTAAACTTTGTCATCACACTACCCAAAAGCAGCAAAACTATAAGCACAGTAAATCAATCTTCATTAATTTTGGAAATCTGAATACAAAGTATTACTGTCACATCATAAACTTAAAAAATAATTGTGGTATTACTTAGCCAAAGAATGAACACTGATCTAACAAATATAAGCTTTCTGAAAGAGAATTATAATGATTTAAAAATACAGTTCTTAGATTTTTTTCAACCTGGAACCACATATTTTATAGTAAAAAGTCTACACTTCCCTCTTCTAAAATTAATACTCTTTTTAAAGTAATCACTTTTCATAATATCCTTTTCCATTTGTTAACTATGTTTCTGAAAGAAACAATATAAATAATAACTATATGGAAAAAGTATATTGAAAAAAAATCATTCTAGGTAAGTCATGAAATAGAATATTGTCACCTAATTAAAAATATTTCATGACAAATTATTTGCTTTAATTAGTCCTACCAGCAAGGATCAGTCACAAAAATTCAAATTATACATGATATTGTTCATGTTTTAATTTCATAAATGAGTTAATAAAACTAAGCCAATATGTTTCTTTAAATTATAACATGGGCAAAACTGTTTATAGAACAAAGTAGGCCAAGTTTAGCTGTACAGCAGCAGTTCATGGTTTGTCATAATGGTACAGATGCCATCAATTAAACCCATGTACAGACAGGCATGCCTCTAATATTTTCCATTTGTTTACCTACATTGGGAACATTCAAAGAATCACTGTATATTAAATTTCTATGTGCAGTTATTAAATGTTTACCAAAAACTAAAGATGTATGTTACATGGTCAGCCCAAAAAATCAAAATGAATTGTAAAATTCTTTTTCTAAAGTGCTTAAGGCAATTCCTTCATTTCTTTATCCAATTTATTAAAACTGGTTTGGGATTCAATTGCTAAAAGAGAAATACAATACTAAAAGCATGTTTTTATAAAACACAATTGTTTTAGACCTTTGATACATCCATTACTGTCAACCTCTCATGCATTTCTTTTACAGAAAGCAATCATGTTTGACCTGTCAAAACAAAGAGTAAATAAACCAATAAAGAATGTTTGAAAGGGTATACTAACTTAACACATGTATTAAATTGAGCAAAAGAGCTCAATCTTTTTAATTTAAATGTCAATGACAAACACACACACACACACACACACACACACACAGAGAGAGAGATGGTCAAGTTGAAATAGTTGATTAATTTGAGACTATTTAATTAGGCACTATAGTTCATTTTACTCCAGTGTGAAATGAAGATGGCAAATTTTCTCCAGTTTAACACAAATAAACTTATAAACAACTAAACCAAAACCCCACGTATTTTGCTCTTTCCTTTTAGAGACCTTTAAGAAGCAGAATAAGAGGTAAGTAAACCTCAGATTCTTATTTTGAAGTAATAATAGTATTACTTCAAGTGCATTTTCCAAATGAGAATTAGAAAATTTTCTATGAAGAGTTTTAAATGATAGCATGAGTACAGGAAAGAATCATATGCACTCCAGCAGCCCCTGATTAGTAGCTCCTTTCCCCATGCCCCTGCAATAGAAGCCCTCACCAGTATAACATAATGGCCTCTGGCTTCAATATCAGTTGACAATGAATGGGATATGGGACATGGAGTAAAAAAGAGCATCCTTAGAGGAAGAAGGCACTGAATTAAAGAGAAGACACATTTACATAAGATATAATAGTAAACAATTTATACAAGAATTTCTGGCTTTTTCTGTGTCATTTTTGCTAAAATATACATGTATAACAGTTCATAAAAAGCAGCTCCACCACTAAATTACTGCTTTCAGGTTTGACTCTATGAAAGACAATTATAACTTCCTGTTTCCTTAGGTCCTGGATAACCTGCTGTAGGAAAGAGAAATCCAAAAATTTCTATCAAAATCTTGAGGAGAAACAAAAATCAAAATTGTATTTGTTTGAAGAATCAAAAGAATATCTATTAATAATATTTCATTCTCAAAATTCCCTCAGTCTTTATACTTTTAAATATACCATCAGTAGTGCAGGTATGAATATCCTCTGGAAAAATAATACCCAGTTTAAATAAAATTCCTAATTTAGATTTGTTTCAAAATGAACAAAACATCCTATCATTAAGCAGTAAAATTCAAAAAAATTATGAGCTATTCCTATTCCGCAGGACTTTCTGTGATAGCAACTGATGTAAGCAACGTCATCACTTTTTGGAAGAAGGTTTTCATAGTACAACATACTTAAAAAGAGTGAATGTTAAAATGTTCCAAAAATTAAGGAACATACCAATTCAGATCTCTTTAAAACACTCAAGAAATTCTTTAATACTACTATTATTGCAACTTTCAGTTTGGCTCAAAGGACTTGTGTTATAAATTTTAACTTAAAAACAAACAAACAGGTATGTTCTCAATAACCATGGGTATTACTCGTTGTTAACACATTTTTCCTAACTTTGGGGAAGATTATTCTATGTTGATTTTTTCTAAGTAATGACTGAAAAACTTATATGCCAAGTAAGTCACAGATAGGTTTCCCCCTCCGCCAAATACTTGTTTAAACTATTCCATATCTTACAAAAAACATATATAAATTACCAATATGGAATAGTTTTAGGCACCTCCCGTTAGAGCCTATCTTTCTTAGGTAAAATTTGAGTAGTGTAGGTTTTCCACCTTCCATATAATTTTAATAAACTTTCTTCCTAACAAAAATGTTAAAAATCAGTATAAGTATTATCAGTTATTACCAAATCCAAGTGGGAATTTTACCAAAGATAACTCTAAAGATAGTGTTAAACTAGACAGCAAAGTTAGAAAATATAAAGCATTTAAAAATCTTACCAATAACCAAAATGATGGAATGCAAAGCAGTCTAATTAAATAGGGCAACATATAAAAAATATCCTTTGCCATAGTTAGCGCAGCAGGTAAAAAACTGAAATGTGGGTGATTTTAAGCTATTATGTCTAGAAACTCTTTCTACCCATTTTTTATTTTGAGTTATAACCACAAGAAAAATACCACGACATTTAGAAAACAGAAAATTACATATAATTTAGTCAATAAAACAAAAGAAGATAATTTGGCAAAACTCAACTTATTTATAAACGGGGAAAAACAAACCATTGGAAGAAAACCTGTCTAGAATCTCCAAACAATTTTAATATTTTGGAAACCTCAGAGGACTGTATATTTTTAAAAGCTTCAGTGTAAGAACTAAATGATATGCAGTGATAAGTGGGGAAAAAAATAAAGACAAAAGAAGGCCAGATTTAAATGCTTATTCTTCAGGCCCTAGGGCTACCATATGTAACTAAATATATCAGAAGAACCAAAGTAATCCAAGAAACACAAAGATGAGTTTCTAATTAAGTAACTATTTAAATACTGCCTTTTTCTCCATTTGCTCTTCAAAACATCAGTTTCTTGCTCAATCTCTGCTTGCTTCTATGACATTGCACAGTAGGTTCCTGTGAATATGTGGTACTAGATGCTTAATGCTAACAGATTCCAGGCCGTAAAGCAGAACGTAGCAAACTCATTTCCACCACTCACAAGTTCTATGATTAGACCACCCAATCAAAAGGAGAGGTGAAGCATTCTGAGTAGGCATTATTGAGTAACAATGTTTAGGCTGCTAGCTGAACCAGTCATTCCATTTTCACTTTTCTGAAGTGTTCTCACAGCACTTGGAACCTGCATCCCAGTACTCAAAGAAAGTCCACCACACCAAACCTAAGAAAAAATAAAAACAAAGCTTCAGTCAGACTTCAAATTAGAATTTAAGTGATCCTTAAATTTCCATCTGAAAGACAAAATGCCACATATGTGAATATCAATAAGTTGTAAACTGATAACCTTCATATTTGAGCTGAGGGGAAGTGGAAAGGCTAACTCAAGAGTGTTTTAGAATCACAGAGGCCAGAGGGAGTCTTTCTGGTAGCAGAACCCCCTGGAGTTGCACACCAGACGGAACTGAGGGGTGCAGAAATGTAGTGGTTAAGCTGGATTAATCTAAACAAAAGAAATTGGCTATCATTACTGATGCAAACTTTGACATCTAAGAGAAGTGCACAAAGAGCCAATTTCCTTATTCTAGTAACAACTTTAGATTTTGATGAAGTGTGTCCTGAGACTATAGGAATCTAACACCCACCCCCCATACAATAAAATCCATTAGCTTCTTTCCTAATGTAACAATAACTCTTTTATAATTTTGTAAAGATTTCTGAGAAAAATAAAAACCCAAATAGCAATATCCAGATACACTTGTTATATTATATGAATGAGTTTATGAAAGATAAAATTGCTTTGCTTGAGAACAGAGAGCAGTGATTGTTTACAGTGCCTTTATTCAGAATGGAGGCCTGGTGCATGAAATTTGTGCACTGGAGGGGGGAGTCCCTCAGCCCAGCCTGCCCCTTCTCACAGTCCGGGAACTCTCAGGGGATGTCCTAAACCATAGTCTGGCCTCCCTCTGCTGAAGGTGACTGGCTGATCAGGGAAAGGCACTGCCCCCATTTCCCCCTTGCTGCTGCTGCCTCTGGTCTTCCTCTGCAGGAGGCGACCTGGCGATCAGGGGAAGGTGACACCCCCATCATGCCTCTGCTGCTGCCACTGCCAGCTGTGAGGCTGCCTGAGCCTTGGCCTTAGCAGCCACTGTGGCTTGCCTGAGCCTCACCCAGCCCTCATTGCCTGAGCTTTGAGCCCTCACAGTGGCACTGGCCATCGACAGCTGTCCTGAGCCTGGGGTCGGCCCTGGGCAAGCAGCAGCAGCCATTGGCAGCTTGCCTGAGCCCCGCGCCAGCCATGGGCAAGCAGCAGCCACCACTGCATCCCCAACACTGCAAGTCCCTACCTATCCACCCACGCCTGCTGCACACGTAACCTGCTGATCAGTCATTCTGTGATGGTATCCCAACCAATTTTCATCTTACCCTATTATTTGATTGCCAAAAACTGGAATGTCCACATGTCTTTAACCGATGAATGGATGAAAAACCTGTGGTACATACATATTTGGAATACTACTTAACAATAAAAAAGAAGGGGCTACAGCCCAACTCAGTGGTTGAGCATCAACACATGAATCAAGAGGTCATCGGTTAGATTCCCGGTCATGGCACATGCCCAGTTTGTGGGCTTGATCCCCAGTAGGGGGCATGCAGAAGGTAGTTGATCAATGTTTCTATTTCTCTTTTCCCTTCCTTTCCTCTTTCTCTAAATTCAATAAAAACGTGTGTCTTTTTAAAAAGGGCTACTGACAAACACAAAAACACAGATGATTTCAAATGTCTGTGGGTAGACCTGGAGATTATTATGCTAAGTGAAATAAGTCAGAGAAAGACAAATACCATATGATTTTACTTATATGTGTAATTTAATGAACAAAGTAAATTGATGAACAAAATAGAAACAGAGGCATGGATCCATAGAACAGACTGACAGATCTCAGAGGGCAAAGGGAAGGGGGACTAGATAAAAGAAGGAGAAGAGATTAGCCAAAGAACACATATGCATAGCCCATGGACACAGACAGCAGTGTGGGATGGCTGGGGAGGGAAGTGTGGAAGCTGGATGGAGGTGGCCAAAGATGGGAGAAATAGAGGGCATCTGTAATAGTGCCAACAATGGGGGGGAAAGTCTACAAACCATATAATTCCTTTCTATGATATTTTGGAAAAAGCAAAATTATAGGGACTAAAAACTGGTTAGTGATTGCCAGGGCTGGGTGTGATAGGAGATGTTTACTACAAAGAAATATGAAGGAATTTTCTAGGGTGATGAAATGTTTTATGTCAGTTATGGTGGTGGTTATACAACTGTATGTATTTGTCAAATACCACAAAGCTTTACATATTGTAAATTGTACCCCAATAAACCTGACTTTAAAAAAGAAAATTAAGCCTAACTAGTGTGGCTCAGTTGTTGAGCACTGACATGTGAACCAGGAGGTCACAGTTTGATGCCTGGGCAGGGCACATGCCAGGGTTGCAAGCCTCATCCCCATCGGGGGAATGCGGGAGGCAGCCAATCAATGATTCTCTCTCACCCTTGGTGCTTCTGTCTCTCCCTTCCTTTCTGAAATCAATTTTAAAAATATATTAAAAAGTTAAAAAGATACCAATAAGAGAGGGAAAAGGGAAGCCAGAGTGGAGAAGGTATCTATAATACATATGTTTGGCAAAGGACTCAGGCTGTATAAGGAACTCCAATCAATCAATAAAAAATAGGAAGAAAACCAAAGGAAATATAGGCAAAAAACTTGAACAACCATTTCACAAATGAGTATATTATAATCCTACCTAATAAAAGTGTGATATGCAAATTAACTATCACTCCGCTACACCCATCAACCACGCCCACCAGCTACGCCCACCAGCCCATCAGAGCGAGTATGCAAATTAACCCCAACCAAGATGGCTGCCACCACAAAGAGCAGGAGGGAGACTTGGGTTTCTCTGGCAGTGGAGGAAGCCAAGCTTTCCACACACCCCGGCCAGCCCAGGCCTCTACTCAAGGATATTAATTATAGAAGATAAATCCCAAGAAAAATGGCAGCAGCCATGGAGCTGGAGAGAGCAGGCTAGGGTTGCGGCCCCCCCCCCCCCCCCTCGCGCAATAAGGAAGCCAAGCTTTCCACCTGCCCTGGCCAGCCTAAGCCTCCACTCCATGCTATTATACAAAGTTTCAATTATACAAGGTGAATAAATCCCAACAGAAATGGCTGCCACCACAGAGCAAGCAGAAGGCTAGGCTTCGCTCCAAGCTACAAAGTTTTAATTGTAGAAGATAAATATATCCCAGATAACAGGACCTCCACTTGGGTCGCTGGGGGGCATGACAGACCTGCAAACCACCACAGGCCCCTCACCCATGCTGCCACATGCCCCAAGAGAACCCCCATCCTGATGCGGGACATCCTTCAGGGTAAACCAGCTGGTTCCCACTCTATTCTATCTAATAAAAGAGTAATATGCAGATTGACCACCACTCCAACACACAAGATCAAGATAGCTGCCCCCACGCCGAAACTGGTTTGGCTCAGTAGATAGAGTGTTGGCCTCCGGACTGAAGGGTCCCAGGTTCGATTCTGGTCAGGGGCATGTACATTGGTTGCGGGCACATCCCTGGTGGGGGGTGTGCAAGAGGCAGCTGGTCGATGTTTCTCTCTCATCGATGTTTCTATCTCTCTATCTCTCTCCCTTCCTCTCTGTAAAAAAATCAATAAAATATATATTTTTAAAAATGAGTGCAATCCTATGAGGAGTCATCAAACTGCATGCTTATGATTAGTGTTCTTTTTGTATTATCATTTACTTTAATAAAATATAATAAAAATACACAGAAAATCAAATTTAAGAAGTGGATTGGTGAAAAGAAGGGGAATATGAAGAAAAAAATAAAATAATCTGCTTCCCAATATGTTCTTAAAGTTGCCAATCAAATAAAATATAAACTCACCATGAAACCAGGTAGTACTGGCTGAGTAAATTTTGTCTTAAAGGAATACAACAACTGTTTTGAGTTTGCATCATAGAAAGAAAGTTGACCTAAAAGGAAAAGAAAAAAAAACCTGATTATACAAAATACTATAACACCTAATTAAGGCTAACATAAATAATGCATCTAAGTGGCAACTAAATGCATACTTTGACATTGTTTTTGCTACGAACTATAATGGCTGGACTTAATAATTTTTAATTGAAAATCCGTAGAAAACATGCTTAAGAAAAAGCCAGAATCCAATTTTGTTTCCCTGGTTTTCAAGATCTCCAGAGTGCTTCGTTAATCTGGCAGTATTCTACTTATTCAACTATAAACTATTTCCTTATCATTATTTAACAAATGGTTCCCCAGTAAAAACTAAGGTGATTTCTTCCTCATTTTTACTATAACTAGTCTTTACCCAAATCCTATCACCATTTAAAGTTTACTCTAGTAAACTTTGCCTTCTAACTACTTGAAGCCATAGTCAATACCTCAGTCTCTGAAATCATAGTGTAGCTATCATGGCTTCAGCTTTGTTTAAATTTTTAAAATCCTCTCACAGCCGAAACCGGTTTGGCTCAGTGGTAGAGCGTTGGCCTCCGGACTGAAAGGTCCCAGGTTCGATTCCAATCAGGGGCATGTACGTTCATTGCAGGCACATCCCCGGTAGGGGGTGTGCAAGAGGCAGCTGGTCGATGTTTCTCTCTCATCGACGTTTCTAATTCTCTATCCCTCTCCCTTCCTCTCTGTAATAAATCAATAAAATATATTTTTTAAAAATTAAAAAATAAAATAAAATCCTCTCACAGTCTATCTTTCAATATGATCATGCAATTAAAATAATGGTGTTTTTGACTACCTAACTGTCCAACCTGATGGCCTCCTTTCAACTGATATCACTTCTTCAAATTCTTATCCATGACCATGCTCTTGGTTTGGACCCTAACCTGAGGATATCTAATTTTCTCCCTATTCTAAATGTAGATGCTGATCCAGCCTCTTCTTTCTCCCTTAATAATCCGCTGCCACATGAGAAAAAATTAAACTAACATTTATCCTACTATTAAAACACTGGGTGCTGCCCAGTAGGCATGGCTCAGTGGCTGAGCATTGACCTATGAACCAGGAGGTTACAGTTCGATTCCTGGTCAGTGCACATGCCCCAGTTACTGACTCAATCCCCAGTATGGGTCATGCAGGAGGTAGCTGATTAATGATTTGATCTCATAATTGATGTTTCTATCTCTCCCTCTCACTTCCTCTCTGAAATCAATAACAAAAACAAGAAAACACTGGGTGTTTTACCTAAAAATATTAAGCAGCCTGATATAGTCACAAAGTTGATAAACAGTAAAGCAGTAATGCTTAGTTGTTCTGTGCAATCTTCAGGAGCTACTGTGATGCTGTCTCTAATAATTAGCTTCAGCTCTGCTTTTCTTCTGAGTTCTAGCATTGAATTTCTAAATATTGCCAGACATGCCATAATTTGTCCTATTGGCATCTCATATTTCTCCAGGACTCTGTTTTCCTATTGATAACACTATCATCCTCTTATTCATATTGGCTGGAACCTCAGTCATCAACTCTTCTTTGTCTATCCCTCCAATACATATCTAGTTTTCAAGTTTTATGAATTCTACGTTCACACCATCAAATCCATTATTTTTCTTTTATTATTATTTTTTAATCTTCACCCAAGAATGTTTTTTTAAAGTAATTTTTAAAGTGAAGAAGGGGGAGGGAGGGAAACATCTATAGGTTGCCTCCCATACATGCCCTACTGGGGATTAAACCACAACCTTAAATGTGACCTGACTGGGATTCGAACCCTTTTTGGTGTTCAGGACAGCACTCTAACCAACTGAGATATTTGGCCAGGGCATCAAATCCATTCCTGACTCCTCACTGTTTAGGCCCTACTAATCACTCAGCAAACACTTATTAAAGGAGATATATATAATTTCCCAGATAATCCTATATAATAAAACTCTAATATGTAAATTGGCCGAATGGTGGAACAACCAGTTGCTATGATGTGCAGTGACCACCAGAGGGCAGATGCTCAACACAGGAGCTGCTCCCTGGTGGTTAGTGAATTCCCATAGGGGGAGTGCCACTCAGCCAGAAGCCAAGCTTACAGCTGGCGAGTGCAGCACCAGTGGCAGGAGCCTCTCCCACCTCTGCAGCAGCACTAAGGTTATCTGACTGATGGCTTAGGGGAGCAAGCCTAAGCCGTCAGTTGGACATCCCCCGAGGGCTCCCAGATTGCAAGAGGGTGCAGGCCAGGTTGAGGGATCCCTCCTCCCCTGAGTGCACAATTTTCATGCACCGGGCCTTTAGTATTATAACTGTGTATGGTGCCAGTTGGGTACTGGAAATATTGGGGGAACACTTTATAGGGTATGTGACTGTCTGGTCAGTATGCTATATACCTGAAACTGATACAAAATAATGTTCAATGTAAATTATAATTGGGGGGAAAATATTTATTTTAATTTTTAAATATATTTTTATTGATTTCAGAGAGGAAGGGAGAGGAGAGAAAAACATCAATGATGAGTGAGAAAATCAATTGGCTGCCTCCTGCATGCTCCCCCACACTGGGGATTGAGCCAGGATCCTTCAGTCCACAGGCTGATGCTCTATCCACTGAGACAAACCAGCTAGGGTGGAAAAAAACTTTTAAATATACAAAAATGACATAGTGCTAGAAACTATGCTGCCAAATCACTGCCCTATGATGGCCAGAAGTTGTGTGTACTACTTTGAGAATCAATCTTTAAAAGAAATGTTTTGATATAATATACAATCACAGGCAATTATGTTTGAAAAAATTAAATAAGAGGAATGGCTAATAGTCAGAGAATGTATAATCTGGGAAAAACAGGGCAAAAGCAGCAGTATTAATAGTTTTTAAGAAATAAGGATTATCTGGTAAATGTGAATTAGGGAACATAATTCTGTTTTTTGTGTGTTTTTTAATGTATTTTATTGATTTTTTACAGAGAGGAAGGGAGAGGAATAGAGAGCTAAAGACACTGATGAGAGAAACATCAACCAGCTGCCTCCTGCACACCCCCTACTGGGGATGTGCCCGCAATCAAGGTACATGCTCTTAACCGGAATAGAACCTGGAACCCTTCAGACTGCAGACTGACGCTCTAGCCACTGAGCCAAACTGGTTTCGGCTCTGTATTTCTTAAGATGTCAAAATTTAAGAGCAACAGACTCCAAAGTTATTAGAAGACAAAGCGAGTCAACTTAAGTAAAACCTTCTAACTGCTATCTAACAATCAAAGAGGCTGCTTTTTAAGACAATAAACTTCACATAAGAAAAGTTCATCAAGCACACGAGTGGCAATTGCTTGTAGAGATAATGTAAAAAGGATTTTACACTGTTTGGTAGATGTATTGGGTAATTACTAAGGTCTACCCAACTAGAAAAATCTGACTCCACCACTCTTTACAGGTAATAAAACAAGGTCAGAAGAAATTAAAATGGACAAAAGAAATTTTAGCTTTAAGATTAAAATTAGAAAAATGTTCCTTTCAGACTAAATTAGTATATTATAGACGAGTGCTTTTGTAAGGCTGCAGGCGGACATCACACACCTTTCCAGATAAATCTGGAGCTCAAATTATGCTTATGATCAAATAAATCCTGATAGGTCAAAATACCCTTCCCACAATGTTAATGGAAATTCTCTATAGATGATTACCAGAGAAAAGTACTGAAATATAAGCAACTATGGTGAAATGAATTGTGAGAAAATCAGTAAACTTACCCCCATCAAAATCACAGAATACACCTATTCTCTCAGGAACAGTAACATCCAAGGCTTTGACTTTGTTATTATGCTTTGCTGCAAATGTGTTTTGTAGCCAGTTGTTGACATGGATACACCAACTAGTGTTTGTTTTTCCTAATTGGTCAAATTTCCCCAAAGTCTTGTATGCTACTCCCACACTATAGGATTTACAATCCTTCTGGGCCTTGACCTCCCAATAATGTTGTCCGCTTTCAATAGCAGTGTCTCCTGCAAAAGACCAGAAGGCAAATGTGACTCTTACTCCTTCCTTGTGAGTCACAGAGATTTGTACCTATCTCTTGTCCCATAAAATGGCACAAAAATCTGATTCAGGATTAACACTTATATATTTCTTATTAACTAATTTTTCTGAATATAAAAAGCTTCAGAATTTTTCCTTCTTACTATCCCCTCAAGAGTTATACAGATATGTGGAGCACTATGTAAAATGAAGTAGGTTTTAAACATATCAAAATAAGACAATTTGAAAACCTGCCAAAGTAATTAAAAGGGAGAAACTTTGGCCAAGATTCATTCAACAGAGGCAATCACTCCAGCTCAAGGTGAGTAGACAGTCCACTGTCTGTAAGGCCTTTACTATGAGATAATGAAGAAGTGTATTTATCCTACCCAGCACCGTGTATGATTCCCCAGTAAAACGGTCTCTGCTGCCTCTTACTGCAGGTGGCCTGGAGCCTACAGATGTCCGTTTGGGGGATGGTGTACCACTTCTATATAAACAGGAACAAAAAGAAAAACATATATTTGATGTTGTAAATGTTTCATAAACTAAAATTACAAATTACAAAAGGAACCTTTGGAAAGTTTTAAAAATTATGTTGCAGAAAGAGCACCATTTAATTTTACATGAATTATTACAGAGTTGTCAATGATAAATACTCACGTCTAAGTCATTAACACAAAGCAAGCTGAAAACACTAATATCATGCAGACTGAGCAAGGCTTACATAAAGATACAAAGGGGGGGGAAACTCAAGAGTTTTTATAGTTTACATTTCTTGCAGTTAAATTTAAATAGAAGCAAAAGCAAAAATAAACATATTAAAACTAAAGTAGTATTTATTTTTAAAACTAAAGCAGTATTTATTTTTGTTTGGATCTTTTCTTCTTAAAAATGAAACAGCAATTGCCCAAATCCATGCACAGGATAATGTCAAGTATTAGAAAACATTTCTCCTACTAGAATGGACAAGATCCAACCTGACCTCCTTTACATCAAATTATATTATACTAGAGGCCTGGTGCACGAAATTCATGCATGGGAGGGGTCCCTCAGCCCAGCCTGCACCCTCTCCAATCTGGGGCCCCTTGGGGGATGTCCGACTACCAGTTTATGCCCAATCCAATGGGACTGGGCCAAAACTGAAAGTTGGACATCCCTCTCGCAATCCGGGACCACTTGCTCCTAACCGTTCCCTGCCTGCCTGCCTGCCTTCCTGATTGTCCCTAACTGCTTCTGTTTGCCGGCCTGATCTTCCCCTAACTGGTCCATCCCCTGTAGGCTTGATTGCCCCCTAACTGTCTCTGGCTTTGTCTGAAAAGATGTTTGGTCTAAACAGCATATTACCCTTTTATTAGTATAGATGGTAAGCTGGACAGTATTAGACCTTTCACTAACTCTCAACAACTTAAATCAAATCCAGACGATGTTTTAAATTTAATAATTCTATAATACTGAATCACTGCATTTAAAAACAAAGAATTTATAACTTACCAGTAGTAAAGAAATGAAGGCATGGAAAAAGAAAAACAGACGTAACTACTGAGAATGGCAGTTTAAATTTCAGGGCAAAGTTAAACAAAAGAACTCTGCTGCTGCAGCATTCCAGTCTTCTGACCCAAAGTACATATTGCAAGTAGTACAATAGCTATTAATGTCCTATGTTAAACATGCCCCCCAATCTCTTTAACTATCTGAATTAAGACTCTTTGTTACCTCTGCTCTGAATTATTTTACCAGCTTTCCAATGATCTCTTTGCTACCCAATTCACGTTGTTCACTGTTACCAGATAAATGTAATTGTGATTCTCCTCCTTAAAAATCTTCCAGTACTTCCTTACTGCCTACAAACAACTCAGTTTGTCATTTCAGGTTCTTGATTTGGTCCTAATTTGCTTTTCTGGCCCTTTCACCCATAGAGAGCACTATCCAGTTCACTGCAGTTTCTGGAGGAGTTGCATTCCCCTACCCATATCCCCATTCATATGCATATCTACACTCCTAGCTTAGGCACCTCTATTCAGAGATCTCCTTATAGGTGGGGATCCTCAGCTGAGACCCTTTCCACTGCCTCTGCAGGGACCTCCAAGAAGGGGGCAGGGTTGAGGGTGTAAAGTCACTTTTCCCCCCTCTGTCTCAATACTTTTCTGTGTCTAACCTTTCCTTCTTCCATCTTCTTGGCCTCAGGTCCATTACAAACAGGATGAGCCTTTTGTTTGGGGCTTTCTTAGAAGAGAAACGATATCCACCATCTATGATCTGCTCTGATTTACCTGACCCTCACCTCATTCTGTTGAGAAAAATGGAACACTGGGCGAGCAAGCACCCTCTCCTTTGTGGCCTCTTGTTTACAGGATTATAGTCAGTGAATAAAAGGCTTGATTGTTACTTTGTTTGGCTCTGCGTCTAATTGACCACTTCAGCACTTGGCAGATCAGAACCTCTTTCTTCCTGCAAATTCCTTTATTCCCACTTACCATTACACATACTCTCCACTTGTATTATTATTACAATATTTGTATATAGATAAATTTCTCATCTACTTAAGTCAGGGATACTTTCTTGAAGACAGAAACAGTGGTTATCTCTATAAACCCCAAAATATCCAGCTGACATCCTAGAGTGAACAAATATTTATGGAAATAAATGTATATAATATTCCAGAAGTAGCCTACATAGAAAATACTCTTAAAAGGAGGAAAGGGAGAAAGAAAAATAATATGATATGAAATTCTAAATATAAGCAGTCTAAAAATCTCCGAGTGACCAAATGAAACTTTACTGATTCTACTAAATCTACCAGCATTTTACAATTTACAATATTTCATACTAACAATGAAATCACTTTTGCCAATGAGTGAATAAACTAAAAAAAAAAGAGGAAGATAATTTTGAAAAGAAGACACATTTTGGTTTCTGATAAAGATATCTTCCAGTCAGCACATTATTACTTGTGCAATTTGAATTGATTCATCTTTTTGGTACTGTCCTAACAATTTCACTTAATAACCTTTACTTTTCATCCTGATGCTTTAAAAAATTGCATGATTTTTTAAAACACAGAACATCTCAAACCTGCCTCTGGTCAAATACAAATAAAAGCAAGAATATAGCACAAGAAAGATGCTAGGTATAAGTAAATGCAGAAAAAAGCCAGATGAGGGAAAGTAATTCAAGAAAGAATTTAAGCAGAGTTTATTAATATTTTGTTATCATATACAATATAATCTAAATATTCAGCACACATTAAGGATATAAATTCAAAACATAAGCTACTAATACAGACAGTCTACACAGAGCAATATTTTAGCTTATGAAGGCTGCTGCAATGGCTTCTGCTTATTGGTTAAAGAAAAAAAAAATTAAAGTTATTCAGCCAAGCTAAATATACTAAGTCCTAGAACTAGACAAAGATCATCACCTTGTATGTTTCTTCAATGAAGTAACATGGGCACTGTCAGATAAAAATAGGCAACTGTTAAGAGTGCTTTATGACTTAAATTTAACAGCTTATAATAAAATCAGGTCAGAAGTCTGATGATGAAATTCTTTTTTTTTTAATTTGCCCTTGTAACTCACACTGAGATTACCTTATTTCAGTATGAGAAAACATTTCCTCTGTTAAAAAAGAAAGAAGCCCCATACTTTGAGACTCTAAATAAGTCTAGCAACAACTAAAGGTCCCAAGCCTTTGGTTCATAAGTTTGCTGATGGAGAGCAAGGCACTGGGGTTGTGCGTGCTAAAAACTGCCATTCAAGGAAGACTTTCAGGTAAGACTGGTGATCTAAAATTTAGGGACTACTACTAGGAACTTCCCTCTAAGCACTTCAAGTTGCTATAGATATTAACTTTAAAGAAATGAGATACTGAAATAAAAATGTATAAGAAGAGAATTAGGAAACTAAGAAAAAGTAATAAAAATATTAGTGACAAATTCAAGGACTGAGCAACAATATTATATGTTTCACTTTCATGTTACTAACATATCATAAATCATATTGATATATAGAATAAGAATTTCATTACACTGAGTTATTGTCAAACAAGAATCAACAGATTTAAAGAACTAGCTTACCTGCCCTTGTTCTCTTTTCCTTTAACTTTGTTTTCTTGGCCTTTTCCTCCAGTAGGATCCCACTCTACACAGGTATCTTCAACTCTCAGGTTCAAATGTGATGATGAGCTATCCAAACTGAAATTAAGGGCTATAAAAAACATTTCAATTTTGTAAAAATGTAACACATTCCCACTTTCTGAAGCACAGCTAATATCACATTATTTTCCTACCCAATTTTTAACTGTATATAAAGATTATAGGAAGCCTAATGTTTACCTAGAATCAAGAATCCTTTTATCCTCTACTGTTCTATAAAGAGCACTTTAATTTCAACCTTGCAACTGACCCATTGTTCATTGGGGTCTTTATTTATACAATATTCTAAATACAAATTTACTGACCATAACCACTTCGAGTAATTGTCATGTTATGCAAGTAAATTAATAGCTTTCAAAATCTCCATGTGTACAGACATGAACTTACAAAAGGAAGAAATAATTCAGCTTTTCAGTAAAAATGGAACTAGAATGCCTAAATAGATAGGTTATTAAAAAAATACGCCCTGGGTTGTTTGGTTTAGTGGATGGAGCATTGACCTGCGGACTGAGGGGTCCCAGGTTTGATTCTGGCCAAGGGCACATGCCTAGATTGAGGGCTCAATCCATAGTGGGAGCTGTGCAGGAGGCAGCACGATCAATGATTCGCTCTTATCATTGATGTTTCTGTCACCTGCTCTCTCTTTCTTCCTCTCTTAAATCAATAAAGATATGTGTGGTTTTTTTTTTTTTTAAAGTTAGGATTAAGCAAAATTGAGACACTGCACTACCAAGAATGAATTGCCTTAAGGAAACAGGTTTGCCCAGTTGGTATGGTTTAGTGGTTGAGCATCCCCATGAACTAGATGGTCATGGTTCGATTCCTGGTCAGGGCACATGCCTGGGTTTTCAGTGTCTAATGATTCTTTCTCATCATTGACTAGAGGTACAGTGCATGAAATGCTAGCTGGATACTCTTTCCATATCTCCCCTCCCCCACCTCCCTCTCCCTGGCCACCTGCTGCTGGCTGCCACTGCTGCTGCTGCTGCCAATTGCAGCCTCCCTCCCTTCCTCCAACTGGCCCCACTCCTTGGTCAAAGTCCCAAACTCCTGGTGGAGAGGGCAATTTGCATACTATGTTTTTATTATATAGAATGTTTCTATTCCTCTCTTCCTTCCTCTCTCTAAAGTTGATAAAAACATGTCTTTATATATAAAAGGCTAATAAGCTAAATGTCTGACTGTTTGACTGTTCGACCAGTAGCTATAACACGCACAACCACCAGAGGGCAGACACTCAATGCATAGGCATGGAAACATGGAACACAAGAGGGGGGGAAGGGCAGCAAGAGATTAACCAAAGATCTTATATGCATAGTAGAGGGCAGGTACATGGATTCATGCACTGGGCTTCCAACATCCCTCAAGGAGTACCGAATTGTGAGAGGGTGCAGGCCAGGCTGAGGGACCCTAACGAATCCATGCACCAAGCCTTTAGTATATATATAAAAAAGAAAACAGGGTTAACCTCTATATTACTATTAGGTAATTTAATGCATGTGAGGGCATTCTTATTTTTGAGAGAATGAAAAAGTGGATTTAACTCAAAGATGCCATCAATTCAACTGTTAAAATTGAAAGGCTGGTTAAAAAAAAAATGATTTAAAAAAAGTAAAAAATCCTGAGGCAGTTCTCTAATGTGTCATATATGGAGAAGGATGGAGTAAATAGTGACAGAAAAGATATCTCCTCCAAGTCACTTGAGACCAGACTTATCAAATACCACAGCATCCAAATGAAAAGACATAGATGCATAAGACAGCATCCAAATGAAAAGACATTACATCCCAGGTATGTAATCAATCTCTCTCTCTCTCTCTCTCTCCCTCTCTCTCTCTCTCCCTCTCTCTCTCTCTCTCTCTCTCTCATGCTATTCCTTTTATGGGACCTCAACTGAGTCATAGAGGCTAAGGTAAAAGGGATAACACTGCATAGTTGTTTGTTTTTTGAAAAGACTGGCTCCAACAGTGAGATGTCAAATGTTAGTCCTGTCTCTTATATAAGCCCTATAATATAGCTAGATGTTAGTTTCCATATCTTTAAAAGTCTGTGATAACAAAGTACTAAGAAACTCAGAGCACAGGAATATTTCAAGGGTTTAATGTGTATCGGTGGCTGCTTTCTTGGTATTGTAAAATATTATAGCCATTATTGTTTGAGTCCACAGAGTAAATTGTGATTAGTATCATAGCATTTACTTTTACAAGAAGTAAGAGATACTATACTTTTAAAATTCTAGTCATAAAAACTTACATTATGCATCACTTTTGACAATTCTAATGATGGAAGAAATAGTGCCACATACACTGGGGAGACAGATAATATTCACTATTTTTCACAGCAAGCACCATAGGTAGCAGGATATGAACTTTGGTAGTCCTTAACTATTTAATCTCCATTCCTCTCCTTTTTTCTCCAGTTCTTTGTTTATACACCTATTTCTATTGGTTGGTCAATAAGGACTGAATGCATCAGGCCAAGAAAATCAATAAACAATTGTTCAACATGTCATTATTTTAAAAATCTAGACTTTTCGTCTGGAGCTCCTGCTCTCATTAATAGCTACTCCTGTGCTATGGAATAGTTTTAGAAAATCTGTGACCCATCGATATCTAAAAGACAGAGTTTATTCTGGATCTCCCTGAAGTTCAAAATCACTGTTCAATAGGCCTCAGGTTCAGTTTCAATCTATCCACACCCCAGGGGGTCTATCCCATAGTAAGAAAACACTATAATCAACTAGTCTTTCTCTACAAACCCTTAGTTTACAAATCTGTTTAATATAAATACATAAACACCACAGAGATGTGTGGAATCTGATTCTGGAAGTAAATCCACTTAATTATCATTTCACAACTGGTATGATCTCCAGCATTATGAACTTTAAATCGGTAAATATCTGAAACATTTTCTGTATTAAAATATGAAAGCTAAAATAAAACTCTAGGGAGTTTTAATTAATCCAAATTGCTCTCACAGACTTTAGGCACCAAAATTCATGCCCTCAAAGGGGCTGGCACAGAACTTGAAACAGATTCTTATTCACATCTCCAAGCTAGTTCCAGGTATCATACACAAGACACTTAACATATATAAACTTCACTTTCTTCTGAAAAATGGCTATCAGTAATACCTATTCTACTGATCTCTCAGAATGGTCTTAATAATCAAATGAAGAACTGTGAAGAGTGATTTATAAACATTAATAAACTATATAAATGTTAATTTCTACAGTAAGACTTAAGAAAACAGAGAGAACCTGAACTAAATGAAAAGACACTTCCCCATTACTGAGCCATAATCCATTCCCTGGGAAAACACTGGACGTTTTGTATTTTGTATTTTGTATCTCAATGATGTTTATGTATTTATACTAAACTGAAATTTGTAAACTAAGCAGCTACCTGAGAATATAACACTATCATCTCAGTCTGTTTTACCTATCTGATCACCATGATAAAGGAAAAACTAATGAAACCACTACTATAGTCCTAATTTCTCCATCTTAAAATTCCTGTTGTTGGGAATTCCGGGTGGGGGGAGGAGGGATAGAACCATGCCTCAGATAAATCGAGATGCTGCATACTTAGCTACTGACCTTACCTTTGGTCTCTAGAGTCACTGGGTCAGAACACTCTCCAGCCACAGCTTTGTTACAAGCTCGCACTCTGAAATTCATATACTTTGAATCAAACTTTAAACCTGAAAAAATGAAAATGGTTTTCAGACATGAAAAATAAAGGAATCTACTCCAAAAGTAGGAGTATGAACCTTAAGACAAACATTTTTCCCTTTGTAGAACTTTCTCTTTAATCAGGAAGAATATAAATTTATGTTAAAACAGTAATAATGCCTGAAGTCAGAGAAATAATGATTTATCTATTGTTTTCTTCAAAATAAATAAGTTATACAGTTTATCAATGAGTTTTTTAAAACCTAGTGATAAGAGGTTCTGTCAAGCCTTATTAAAAGTAATTTTTGTATTCAAGGATAGAAGCTGAAATTTAAAATAACATATTTAATTTCTAGAAAATAAACACCCAAAGGAATTTTATATTTATGAAACACTGTCATTTTTTGTGAAAAATAAATTTAAAGAAAAGTGAAGCATATAGATTAATAGCAAAACTCTGAAGTTAGTCATGTCTAGATTAAAATAGTCTAAAATTACTAGCTGAGGGACTTTCAACATGACAGAGCTACAGTTTTCAATCTGTAAAACAGAAATAATAAAACCAACCTCATAATTCTAAATGAGATGTATTATACTGGTTGAGATGTACTATGAAATACATTTCAGTCTAGCTCCTGACAAATGGTAAGTGTTCAATAATAGTAAAGTTATTAATGTTATTGATCATCCATAAGAAGCATTTACCAACTCAGATAACAATTAGTCATTTCAAATACACAAAGTCCCTTATATATGGAGATATCTTTTTAAAGACTTTCAAAAGGCTAACATACAAATGTCTAATACCAAGTCACAGTTCTACTCTAAGATTATTGTGAAGGATTAAAGGCAACGATATTTGTGGAGAAGTGTGTACATCTAGAAAGTTGACAGTTTTTGGTTGTTAGAAAACCAAGGTAAAAATTAAATGTTATTCAGAAATATTGTTTCCAGAACAACCCTTCATGCTTGTTCTACATACATTGTTTTACCAGGCTGCAAATATCCGAAGTAATTTAAATTTTAGAAGAGAAATTCACTTCTATAATGAATACATAAAAAATTGGTTAAAAAAACTTAACATTATCTTTTAAAGTAACGTAAAATATTTTCTCAATTACATTTATTTTGAGAAAGATTCATAAAATGCAGTCATTTACCTGACAGTGTATATTCATTACCCTTAATATTATCAATTATATCCCAACACCGCTCATCTTTTACACGTGGAAGTCCATCAAAATTAGTTTTCCTATATTCCAGTATAAAATGGTCAATCTTATTGTCTTCTTCTGGCATTCTCCAAGCTACTGTTATAGCATTGTCAGCCACCAAACACTCTACTGGATCTATCTCTGGAGCTTTGGGGACTGAAGGAAAAAGAAAAAGGCTATTATAGTAGTAATCCAATATTTAATCTGTCATTCAAACTATGGTTTTTCATGTTGCTTTTGAATAATTTAATTGAATCAGGCTAAGAGAAGAGATATCCTATATATACAACATGTTTTTCAAAGCTCTGTTTAAAAATTCATGTTTAAAAGTCTTTTCATATACTTATTCAAAGTTTATTAAATCTTAGTTAGCAAAAAGCAATTCAAACACGCTAAGAATAAAGAATCAAGAATGACTTGTTACTTCTCAACATGTACTTTTAATCTATTTCAAACAGCTATAGATTACAAATTAAATAACTATTGAGAAAATAACTTACTTTAATGCCAATAATTAAAATAACTCAAGGTATTTTCAATGTATTTTAAAAATCTTGTTTATAAAATAATTGTAATTCCTCAGCACTAAACAAAAATAAACTCCTCAACACCCAAATACTTAAGAATTTTAAGGTGTTTTTCTAAGAGTTTTCTGACTCATTAAGATAGGGATAAATGTGCCACAATTAACATGTATGAACACTGATCAACTTTTTTTTTTTTAAATATATTTTTATTGATTTTGTACAGAGAAGAAGGGAGAGATAGAGAGCTAGAAACATCGATGAGAGAGAGTCATCGATCAGCTGCCTCTTGCACACCCCCCACTGGGGATATGCCCGCAACCAAGGTACATGCCCTTGACCGGAATCGAACCGGGGTCCCTTCAGTCCCCAAGCCGATGCTCTATCCATTGAGCCAAACCGGTCTTGGTAACTTCTTTTCCATAAAAAAGATTTTTCCATAGCTTCTCAATGTTAACAGATGTTTCATTTACATATCAACAGGCTAACTGGAGACTATGGTCTTTCACTGATATAGATGTGTCAGAAATGTGTGAAACTGTGCAGGTATTGTATTTAAAAATTTTGTCACTGAAAAAAGTTTTTGTGACACTGCTATCTAACAGTGTACTGAAAATTGTAGTAAATGCAGTAAGACAAGAAAAGAAAGTAAAAAGGTATATAGATCTGTCTTTATTTGCTGATGACATGATTATCTATGGAGAAAACCCAAAGAATCAATGAAAAATTTCCTGAAATTAGCAAGCGATTACAGCAAGTAAGTGGCAGCCAGTATTAATCTAAGAAGTCTGGGTGCAGGATCCAGTGCATTACATTGTGGTGTACTGCTATGTCAAACTAACAGTAAAATGTATTCCTTAATGGGATTCTTAAAAATGGAATTTTAACTACCAGTAAAATAATTCTCTAAAAATTAAATCTAGCAAATTTAATTATTCCTAGAATGAAAAAATTATGCTATATTTCTTTAATATTTACATTCCAATGTTTATACAGAAAAATCTTGCAGAAAATATATTTTTATATATAAATTTACATGAAACATATGTAAATTACTCACCTGGCAAAAACTTCAAAGTCTGCAACATCTGTCTTTCCTGAGAAAAATCCACCATTAAATGAGTCATGCTGTCACTGACCTTTGGTTTCAAAGAAAGGCGAAAGGCTGAAGCCATCGTTACTCTACGGCAAATATAAACATGCTTTTAAAAATAAAAGAATGGGAAGTACCATATATTTAATTTATAAAATGAAAAGATAAAAATGATTTTACTCTAGTGATTTCAGAAATTTTAATGAAGATAACAAAACTAAATAGAAATTTGTTTAGTCTTTGAAAATTAACTAAATAAAAAAACTATAAAGTGTATTTAAATTTAAAGAAACTTTCCTCCAGCCAGTTTTATAAAACTGCATACAAATACAAGTATCACAAGAGACAAATATTCATAATCTTTAACAGACCCAACAGCCATCTAAATCTCTGTACACTCAAGCTTTCTGACTTCCTGATGCCAGCCTCACTCCTTTTCATATGCCAAGTAGTAACAGCTACTCCATGTGTCCTCAAATAAGAGTAGAGGTACATTGACCAAATACTGCATAGCATAGTAGCTGCTAAGGACAGGTCATTGATGAGAAAGGAGAGAAGTGAAATCACTAGTAGGTGTCACTCTGATTGTCAACATCAGCTACATGGAAGAATATAGGAGAAACACCACTGCGAAACCACACATAGAAATAGCAGTTCAAGAAATATTTATTAGATGAATGTGGTATAAAAAAACAAAAACAAAAAAAGAAAGAAGCCATACCAGACCTCATTTAATCCACAGTATGGGGAACCTGTTCTGTCAATTAAAACTGAGAATAAAAGAAATGATCATATTTGGCCCAGCCAGCATAGCTCAGTGGTTGAGCGTTGACCAATGAATCAGGATTTCACATGTTCGATTCCCAGTCCCATGCCCAGGTTGTGGCTGGATCCCCAGAGTGGGGTGTGCAGGAGGCAGCCGATCAATGATTCTTTCTCATCATGGGTGTTTCTATCTCTCTCTCCCTTCCTCTCTGAAATCAATAAAAATATATTTTAAAAATATATATTAAAAATTATCATGTTCTATTAATTTGTCATTTTGTCTCAAATTTCAGTTTTTCATATTATAATAAATTTCCACAAGTATCACATAGTAGCTTCCTTTATTATCTTTTATCAAAGAATAATATTCATGAGTGTTGTCCTCCTAGTACACAATTTGGGAAAAGAAGTAAATAGAACTGAAGGAACAAAGAGAATTGCAGGTCTAGTCATTCAGATCTGCCAAATCTACTCTAGAAATCAATGATTTAAAAGATATCAAACTTGTTGCTGTAGTCAGTCATTTTAGGATGAAAAAATGTCTAACTATTGCTGTATTCTGTTACTTTTAAAACTAGGAAAGTAATCACTTTATTTAGAAACAAAGTTAACTGATATATTTATCAAAAAACTCCAGTCATAACACTGAGTGTTTCTCACATATTATTTTAAGCTGCTGGTTCTCAATAATAAAATTTCAGATGGTATAAATAAGGAGTTAAGAAGAAAGGCTGTCTTACATACTTTTGTACTTTACAGCCCCAAGTAACTTTTGATTCAAAGACTTCTGAGAGAGCTATATTCAGATAGGTAATTAGTAAATGCCCATAGGATCAATGAATGGGTTTAAACCTACTTAGTTGCTTCTTAACCTGATTATTAAAATGTATTTTTTGAACTTTTGAGAAAAAATGTCTGAAAGTATTTTAGGAAAGTTAATTCTGAAACTTTACCTGCAAAACTTTATTTAATCATTAAGGCCTCAAAGAAAAAGAATGTTCTCCCATAAAGCAACAGAAAGGTCTATCAAAGTCTAAAAAAACAAGAATAATGACCTTCATTTTCTAGTCAATGAAAATGTCAGTCTCCATAAATCAAGTTAGATATATAACAATGCTATAATCTTTCAAAAGACTAAACATTTTATTTTTAAACTGAATACATTTAGACAATTGTGCCTCAAAGCCCAAACTAATAATCTGAAATCCATAGATAATTGTATTACAGGATCCATGTCATTACAAATGTTTTAATTCACCCTGACTTTCTTTATTTATTTCTAATGGTAAAGCTGAATACAAGGCTCATACTTCTCCATTTTATTTCTGCAAAGATAAAATAGCTGCAAAACATATAGATGGACATTTTTAATTTCCTCAAACTACCTACCCAATTAACAACTCTTCCTTTCATGACCCCTTTCCTTCAAGAACTAGTAACTCCCACAACATAACTCAACTAATCATCTTCCAACATTACTAAGCACCCAGATGTGTATGCCAGTGCTTTATAAAGAGATCTGCTATGTATCATCTTCTCATTTCTGTCTTTAGTGTTTCCTGTCACTCCATTATTCCTCCTGTACAACTTTTGTCATACCAAATGATAATACTGAGTTCTCACAGATACTTTCCTTTTCATATATTTGATTCCTTGCTCAGATGTTACACACGCTTCCTTAAAATACCACTTTCAACCTATGGGAATAATCCTTTCTTCAGTTAGTAAAAATAATTATTATGATTCTCTGGTTTCATATTATGAACAGCAATAATGGAATTCCAGAAGCTTGCTTCCTGGAAGTACCTAAAAACTGTATCAGAGAAACTGGACATTATGAAACTAAAAATCAAGCTTAAAAACTTAATCCCAAACCCAGAAATGTTCCTTAGGTAAGAAGTAAACCTTTTGTGGGCAGCCTAAAAAAAAAAACAGTATAGATTCTGAAAAAACAAAACAAAATAAACGGACTTTGCTCTGACCAAAAAAAGAAACTATGACTTCTGAGATCCCTTGGATACTGATGAAATCAAGTCAACCAGTTGGCTTAGAAGAAGAGGAAAAGAAATCAAGTTTCACTGAAGAATGCATTCAGCTGTGAACACTGATCATAACGTTAAATTCTGGCAAACAAATCTGGGTGGTCAGGGGTAAGGACAGAATTCTGGGAAGCACAAAACCATAGAGAAGAACAAGGAAGGATATTGGAAGGTCTCTCACAAAGTCTTTGGACAGCCCAAAGCCTGATTACGCAGTGACTTCTAGCCCAGATAATCAGGGACCAGAGTTCGAATGGAGTAGGTGGCTAAATTGAATAATAATTTAGCCAGGTTGGGAAGAAGGATCACTCATAGTGAATTCCAACAAACACAACCCAAAATTACCTTATCCAAAAAAACTACCTAGTATCCAAACCTTAAACACCCATACTTTCACCTTCAAACTCTCATAATCTCCTTTCTAAATTTAGGATTTATAACAATGATCCACGTTTTTAATCAATCCCTGATATAAAATTTACAAAAAATATAAAAATTAATATTTGTACTAAAAATTCTATGGCTGTCATGTGAATCTTGCCTCTAGTCAAATAAACAGACATGAGAGAAACCCAAAATTGAAGTCTTCAGCCAAGATTAACAACAGAGACACTGGTTTTCACACAACCTACAATGAATAATTTTTAAATTATCTGATGAATAATTTCATCTAGGATTCAGAGTAGGGATTTGAAGAGCTGTGCCTTTCAGAAACTCTCATAATCCTCCAATGAAGAAACCTAAGTAATCACCTCAATGGAGTCAATGGTCAGTGATTAGCCAGGCAGATCAGAGCCATCCCGCTTGTTGTAACCCAATCCAAAATTGCCAGCAGCTCCTTTAGCCTTTTGGTGTATTCATTATAGCAAGTACTCAGTTTCCTTTCTTAATCCTGACTCTATCAATGAAAGAGACCTTATAAACTAGAGTTTTTCATTATTTTCTGTAATAGTCTCTTCCCATAAATGGGTAGTAGTGGCATTAGAAAGAGAAAGAGATGGCACCAGGAACAGGATGAAATGAGAATACAAAGGTGTTAACCAGGAGAGCAGTGAGAGAGCTTTAACTCCTGAAGGTGATATAAAATGCTGTAATACCCATATAAAATTTAAGAACAACAAAAAATGCATTCCAGGAATATTTTTTAATTATTCAAATTGGTTCCCCACCATTAGCATAGTCAATTAAGAACTGTAGTAAAACTAATACTAAAACTAACTATATTATACCAGAAATGAAATTCTTTTGGAAGTACATAATTGTCCACAACTATGTTTTTAAAAAATCTTGCTAACATATTGCTTATTATTGAAAATATGCAGAAGACATTGTTTTTTTATTTGACCTTTAGGTATTTTTGTTTTAACTAAGAGCCTAGCAAGAAACTGTTCTTGAATTTCATTTCTGATTTCAATATCAATATAAATAAAAATGTAGGTTTTATTCCATACCTATCCTTGATCTGTCTGGCAGCCTTGGAGCAGATCAGGGAGGAGAGAAAGAAGGCAGTTAGTGCTTTTCATGCAAGTTTCAATGGCAGTGACATGCAAGAAAAGTTAGGATATAAACCCTGGAACAGATTAGTTCATATTCACCAAAACATAAATTATAGGAAATTTATACAGTTTGCATCAGCTTGCATAATGTGATGTTAGAATTATAGTAGAAAATCTAGAACTCATATATACCACCTTAAAAGGAGGGAAAGCAAACACTTCCAACTAAAACCAGATGACTACAAATGTTTTTTCTTACCTTAAAATTATCATAACACACCTGCACTTTCATTCAGTCAGACACTCTTCCACCAGAACCACCCTCTCCTTCCCGGGCACCCATTTCTATGCATTCTGATAGGTGTGTTTTTTGTTTTTTGTTTTTACATATTTCAAATCTACTCTCCAATTTTTCTTCAGAGACCTCTCTCACCACTTCATAATGTTTGTTCCAAGTTTCCTCTATATGCCTTCACTGGGCAAAGACTGTATTCTGAGAGCTTGCCTGCTAACATAAAACTAGGCTGCAGTTCTACATTCCTTTACTCTCAAAAAGTTCTAATGGCAAAAATTCAAAGGAGAAACCTGAAAAATACTTGGAGCAATGGGATCTTCCCTCAGATGACTTTTTTTTTTTTAGAATGCTAGCATAAGTTTAGGAAGGGGACACAACTATTATTAAGTATTATTAATACTTGCTGACAGTCACAGAAAAATACAAATAAAAACTGTTTTCCCCTTTGTATTCACATGCAATATAATATATCCATCAAAAGGTGTTTTTTTTTCCCCATACTGACCAGAGTAATTAATGATATATCCATTGAAGATCATGTTTTATTTGACACTCCATCCCCAGTGTCTAGCATAAAGCTTAGCACACAGCAATACTTAAAAATTATTAAATGTAAATCAACAGTAAATGTATATAACAAAGCTTCTGTTGCCCCTTGTCTTCGGTTTTAACATTGTCCATACTAACAATCATTTTTAATTTTTTTATATATATATTTACATATTTTATTGATTTTTTACAAAGAGAAAGGGGGAGTGATAGTTAGAAACATCAATGAGAGAGAATCATAGATCAGCTGCCTCTTGCACACCCCCTACTGGGGATGTGCCCACAACCAAGTACATGCCCTTGACTGGAATCGAACCTGGGACCTTTCAGTCCGCAGGCCGAAGCTCTATCCACTGAGCCAAGCCAGTTTCGGCCTAACAATCATTTTTAAACCCATCCTAGAATATTCTGATATGAGAATCTTTCTATACAAAAGAACAGAACTGCAATTTAGATCAGCATGTGATGCAGTTCCAGCACTATCATAATCAATCCTGTGACCCAGTATACTAATCATTCTATTTCTTTATTAAGGAATTTGAGTCCTTACTGTTTCTAAAGACCCTTTTTAAGCTCCATATTCTGCAGCAGACAACCCAATGCTATGATATCTATAATCATGACACTATTTTGTTACTAGGATAAGAAATGTTAAGGTAGTCAATTACATTGTTTGTTTGTTTTTAAGTACCGTCATTATAGCTACTGTTACAAACAAAAGCTTTTAATATGTGTCAACAGGAAGAGGAGACTCTTCTCTGTAGTTGATATTTCTTCACATAGGGAGAAGCTCCACTAGCATTATCCCTTAGCCTCTCTGCTCCCTTATTTCTCTTGGGGAGGCGCTATGACCTAATCTGACTGACTGACTTTGGAAGGAGACACTAGAAATAAATAGCTCAGCAACTTTCCCTTTTCCTGACAGCTTGCTTGCCCACAGAGAACATATATTCTGTTCTTTCCCTTGAGGCAGTAAGTTTCATTGAAACAGATTACCCCCACAGACACCTGTCCGTTTCTACAATTAGGGAAGTTTGCCCATTGATATAAGCTAAATTCTCCAATACCATTTTAACAATATTTGGCCTATTATTAGCTTTGTTTTATTTTATTTCCCAACTGTTTTGGAACTTGGTTAAAGGGAGATTACTAACCAGTCACTCTCAAATAACCCATCAATATAAAGCCCATCACAGTTTTTAAACTGACCATATTTTTGTTTCTAGTGTTACTTAACTTACTAAGATGTCATTTTTAGTGCGTGCAAGTGTACACATGTACACATGCATATAAAGCTTTCATGTTATCATCTAATGTACCTGGCTGTTTGTGACAAGTAGAAATGAATAGAAAAAAGCCAACTGATTTAGGAAAAACTGTTGGTTTATACCCGGTTGGTAAAGCTGGAGACTCAGTGCTTCTTCTTTTATTTAGGTTCATTTTTTTATAGTACATTCACTGTGCAAATGCAGGAAGGTTGAAAAAGTTATTCTGTACAATGATAAAGAGTAGAAAGTCTCAAATTCCGAAAATATTTCTTTAATAAGGCCCAATTTCAAAAAAAATGTCTTGAATTGGAAAACAGGTTAATTTTTTTTTCTGGAATTTCTTCTCCCAAAGCAGAAAACTGTCTAAAAGATGCACATTGCAACATTGCTTGATTCCTCTAAGTTTCAATTTCAACTGTTAGGCATTTTGTCACTTAAACATCTCTGCTTTCTAAGTACATTTATTGGCAACTACATAATTCCACTTAGTGAGCTATGAAGAAGCATCAGTGAATACTTAGAATTTTAGGTTATGATACTGTGTATCACTGGAAAGCCTTCAAGAAGTATTAGTCATATTACCTTGCTCAACATGATTATTTTCTATTTCAATTTCGATCACTATTTCTATTTCAACTTTCTAATGAAATATCGTTTGCCAACATTTCACTTCCCTCTGATCATATCAGACATGACTCCTTTGATCTCTTTCATTCCCTTCCTCCATCTCTCCATTAATTGTTTTCAAAAACCCTATTATTCTGATTATTTTCACCTGTGATCAAATGTAGAAGATATTTCCTTTTTGCCTTAATCTGTAACATTTCATTTCATTGTAAGCAGCTGGGCAGGTAACCATTCCATCCTTTCCAGTCTAAAAAGTGGGTTATGTGTGGCAAGACTGTGATAAAATGTCTGGTTAGTTATATTGACTTGAAAATTGTCCCCCAGACTCAGCTCTTCATAAGTAGAATTCAAGTTCTAGACTCAGGGGGTGGGGAAAGTTAGGGATATTAATTTTGGCACAGGGTCCAAGCAGTGTGGTGCAGGCCAGCTATTAGCAGAGAACCCAGGTTTGGTGGGTTTTGGCTATTTATCCATCCAGAAATAAAGTTAATGATCAGATCTCATTTGCTGGTGATCTTTCTTCATATATTTTCTGTCAACCAAACTTATAACAGTCTAAAAAAATGTGAAAATATGTTTAAAATATTTTTCCATTTGTGCTATTTTTATTGGTAAGTAGTATAGCTTCATACTCAATTTTCATATTGAAGTACAACAATGTGATCATTTAAATATCAATACTTAAAATTCTTTTTTTAAGATAGCAAAGTCTAAAAAAGATTAATGGTTTGGATATTAGCCTATGATATTTTTTTGCCTCCATGAACTATTTATATTAATTGGATTTAATCACTTTAATATGGGACATTTGTAAACAGTATACCTTAGAAGAACTTTTTTCCCCCAAATATCTGGCAATATACTGCTAGTCCAACAGTTAATCTTCAAAGTCATCTTTTCATTTTCTCTCAGCAATTAGGTGTTTGGAGCAAGCCATTATCCATGTAGCTGGCCAGGAAAGTGAACTTAGGTTCTGACTTGGAATCAACATTTACCTGGATCCTCTTTGGAAATACTCAGAAAATTGCAAGCAACTCTCAGTTAAGCATTTTTTAAAAAAAATAAGAAACTTAGATTTCTGGCTAGGAAACACTGAATTCATTTCACCACATCTCCAAATGGTTTAAGCTATTAAGCAATACTGCAAAATTCTGGAAGACAAAATTAAAACTATTAAGCCAACTGGCACATTAAGAAATATATTTAAACCACAATGTGATTTATTTTATCAGAACCTTTCTATTTACAAATATCTGGGAACAAGTTTTAATTAACAAAGATGGAAAGAACAAAAAGAGAAAGGGAGAATAATAGCCTTTGAGAGGAAGGCAAGAGAAGGACTCAAATGTGAATGAAGAGAGAAACTTGGAAAAAACAAACTCTTATCAGAGTTTTTCCAAGCATCAATACCTATTTAAATTCAACTGGAATGCAAGTTATCTTTGTATTTGTGCACACATTTTATAGTTTTCCCGTCTTGCTCCTCATTCTCAGGCTCTCAGCTATTAATTCTATGACTATGCCTTGTCATTAATAGCTGCTCTAGCCACTAAAAGGGAACTCTTGACAGCTAGGAAACAAAAAAAAAAAACCTAAAAATTTTAGTACCAGGTACATATTAATAGCTAACAGATTCTGAGGCTATTGAATAGAGTGTATGTCTCTTGCCCATGAACTCTGGGACGCTGTTCTTGAGAACTCAGACATCTTTTGCTTTCTGCATGTATTTGGCTATAAAGTTATCATATATACATCCTCTAAATAGGTGACATATCTATATTTTTAAGTACCTTAAAGTATGATACAGTTCCCTCATAATTACTTTATATAGTACTACCAAATGCAAAGATGAATTTCCTCACAACCCACCTACAAATTAAAGAATTAATTAGCTCAGATTTATAGAAAAATAACTATTGTTTTGACTATTTTTGTTAAAAGAAATTAGTTTTTAGAGTTCATTTTCAAAATGTAGGGATATAAACCAACAAATGTTACCTTCTCAAGAAAGATTCTTCTACTTTCAAGTTCACAGAAAAATCATAAAAATGCAAACATTCGGTGGACACAAACTGATTATAAAGCCACCTTTCTAACACTAATGCAGCAGCTCACTGGTTTGTCCAGGAAGACCAAGAAAAATAACATCAAACTAAAATATTTTAGCTTAATAAGATTACTAGTCTTTTTAAAAAATAATTATATAGCTTAATTCCCACTCTTTTCACACCATTTTCAATATATATAACATCCTTATTGTATATAAAATATAACAGAAGTGATCAATTGGTAATCATTGGAAAACAACTCTATGTAAAATAAAACTAGAAACTAGAATTCAAAATCTCTTAAACACCAGGACCTAGGTTAAAACATTAACAGTTTTTTTTGCTCTACTGTTCATATTTTTATACCAAACATTCCCCTAAACAAGGGAGCTACATTTTCGTATTTTAATAAAACATTCAATTTCTTAAGATAAAAGATTAATAAGAACTTTAGTATCAAGATCTCACTAAATTGCAGTGCTCATGTGCATCAAGTGATGATGTTTACCAATCAGCTCAGAGAAAGGAATTCAAAACTAGACTTTATATTCCTTTTAGACTTTATATTCTTTAGATTAAGTCCAAAGTTAAAAGGGAAAATACCATTTTTTTTTAAATCAAAACTTTCCTTTTTAAGTGGCTTAATTTAGATTTTTTGGTTGATTTTTTTTGTACCTTTGAAAATTCTTCAGCCTCCTTTATATCTAATGACCGTGTTGCAAATTCTAGCAGTTCTTCAGAGTTCTCCAGGGCATTATTACATTGACTAAGCTGACTCTAGAAAAAAAATTAATCATTAAAATAAAATTTCCTATTGCCTTCAGAATCTTAAATATACAGTACCGTTATAATGAACTTACAAAGAATTTTAATAGAATAACTGAACAAAAATATTGTAGAGAGTTAATGAAGCAGATAATCACAAGTCATATTTTAAACAAATTTTTATTATCTTAATACATTATACTTAACATCATAAGCAAAAATAGACAAACGAAACTTCTCCACTGCTAGTGGGAATGTAATATTATAGCAGCATGGAAAACAGTATGGAAGTACCTCAAAAACCTAAAAATAGAATTACCCTATGAACCAGTAATACCACTTCTGGGTATATATCCAAAAGAACTGAAAACAAAATATCTTAGAGATATTTGCACACCCATGTTCACTACAGCATTATTCACAATAGGCAATACGTAGAAGGAACCCCAAATATCCACAGACAGACAAATGAATAAAGTGTGGTATGTACATACATTGAAATATTATTCAGTCATAAAAAAGAAGGAAACCCTAGCACATGCTAAAGATGGACAAATCTTATGAACATTATGCTGAGTGAAATAAGCTGGTCACAAAAGGGACAAATGCTTTACGGTTCCACTTATAGGAGTTACCTAGGGTAGTCAAAATAATGAAAGCAGAAAATACAATAGTGGTTGCCACGCAGTGGAAGGAGGGGCAAATGGGAAGTTGTGCCAAGGGTATAGAGTTTCAGTTTGCAAGATGAAAAAGTTCTAGAGATCTGTTACACAACTATGTAAATATAGTTAACACTGAACTGTACATTTTAAAATGGTTAAGAGGGTAAATCACACATTGGTTTTTATTAGAAATTTTAAAAAGTGAGATATTAATGACCCCAAAAAAAGGTAAGAATCATTCTTCTACAAGATAAAAGCAGTTATACACAAGAATTCACTAATTTTTGCTTTCAATAAATCAAGAATTAAAGTTATTCATATTTAAATAGTTTTAGGATCTCACCTGTAACTCTTGTGATTTACGAGCTTGTTCCTGCTTGATACTATTAATCATACTTTCTTTCACTTCATCCAATATAGAGTATAAACTATCAAATTCTTCATCTAGCTCTGAAAGTATGTTAGAAGAATTTTCCTATTTAATAAGCAAAACAAAATTATTTTACTGAAGAGCTGTCAGACATTAAAAACTAAGATATATTTATCAAAAGGGAGAATAGATATATATTATAAAATCACAGCCTAACATCATCAAAATAACAGAATTCTAATATTTGACATAAGACTTTAAAAACACAAAAAATCAAAGAAGCTGGCTGTTAATGCTGATAGTATGTGTTTCAGCTGTACTACGAGTTAAGCAGCCTTTTATGGAATAGCCCATACTCTCTTCACCTTTTATAATGCTGTTTCCATAGGACAATGTGAAAGGTTGTCTTGAGGTTGACAAGTTATCTAAACCTAAGCCAGTAGTTCTCAACCTTTACTGTGCATCAGAATCATTAGTGGAGCATTTTAATAAAACATTTCAGAGATTTTTATTCTATAACTCTTGGACATACAGGGCTGGGGGTGATTTTGTGTGAATTTTTAAATCTTTCAGGTTGTCTAAAGTACTGTATTTATAAAAGATATATAGAATTTAAAGACTAAGCAATTCCTTACTAGATTCTAAGAGATTTATCAACCACTGCTAGAAGGAACCTCAAAAATCATCTATGACTACAATTTGTAGTCAAACTGCTAAATTTTATGAAATAAACGACACATAAGTGACTTGCCCAAAGCTATGCCACTATTTTCTAGTGGCAGAATTAATAAAGCATTTCAAGTCCATTAACTTCTCACTACCTCATTAAGCAATATTCTATTATTTCAATAAGAAATAACTTAAAATATCTCTGAGATCCTTAGATAAGCCATATATAGACAGTATTTGAAACAATTATGAGATAGAAGACATTATCTTAAGGCATTTTTCAATTTAAACTAATCATTCAATTAAGAGAAACCAACTGGCACTCAGAGAACTAATAAATACAATCTATTGTAATATCATAATCCAAACTTTTGCTTATGTTAATAAAAACCCGTCATCATCACACCAGAGTCTTACCAAAAGTGGTATTAATCATTTTATTAGTTTATTTACAATGGTAAAAACAAGCTGTGGAAGAAAAAATATGCAGCCTAGAAGGCAGAAGACATAAATCCCACAATCAATCATTCAATAATAATACAACTTTGGACAAGCCACGTAAATTCCTTGACTTCAATTTACTTATCAAAATTGGACTACTCTTTTTCTCCTCAATAACCAACTGACACATTCTTAATAGTGTCTGGCTTACTCACTCCCTTGTATGCACCATCTTCAGTGACCAATCTAGTTTAATTACCCTTCTTTTTTTTTCTGGATGCCAAGGTATAGTTCTCTTAATCTGGCAATCAGAAAAATATTTTGGACTAGTTCTATCTTTTGGTCTCTGTTCAGATGTCAAATGTCATGATTCTCTCACCCACAGATCAAGAGTTTTAGAATTCTGAGTTTTGCTTACTTTAAAAAGTGGATTTGTGAATTCACCAAATTTTCCATTAAAATAGTTTGTAGTTTGAGAAAGACTGCTAAAGTGGTGAAGTGAACTGACTTTAATTACAGTAAACTACGTAAGTGAAATACAATCACTATTAAGTCCAACAGGCCAAGGACCAGGCAATTACCTAGGTTAAAACAAACAAAAACCATAGAAAAGAATTACTGTTGACAAAAAAACAAACAAAATTGTCCTTTAAATTAATTAAGACACATTCATGGGAAAACATCACCAGCTTATTTGATTATTTACAGTATGGGTTATCTCCCCAAACCCAGGACCATTTCCTTGAATATTCCTCTCCTTCCTGTTAGACAACTATATAAATATAGTTAACACTATATTGGGCACTTGACCTTTTACTATTATGTTTTACATTCATTTGATTTAATGAGGAGACTTTTACTGTCTACATTTTCCTTCCATTATTTACTGTAAAGAATGTTTAGCTTCTCAGTACTTTTGAAAGATACAATTTGCTTAGTTAGAAATAGAAAAGACAAAAATAAAATGGAAAATGAACCCTACAGTATTCCTAGAACTGTAATTCCTCAGTTTTCTTTTTCCCTTACTACTTGATCATTCCATGGAGAATGCAAGAATAGCAAAGAAAGTATTTTTATCCGATGATTAAAAACCATGCTCTTATCTCCACTAGTTTATAATCTAGAGCTGATAGGGAGTTTTTATACTTCTGCTCTGATCCAACAATCATTCATTATAAAATATTTACACAAACTTTTAAATAATAGAAATTCATACCTGAACTCCTTTTAGTGTTTGATTTAGTGTATCAATAAAGTTCTGAATTTCATCATTTTTATTTGCCAGAGTTGAAATGATCCTTTGTAAAGCTTCCTAGAATAAAAAAAAACATCTTGATGTTTTAATAAAATTATAACATTCATTAACAACAACCCTATCTAATCTAATAATCTAATAAAAGAGTAATATGCCAACTGAACATACCTCTGCTACACTCACAAGCCACGCCCACCAGTCAATCAGGAGTGAGTATGCAAATTAACCCAACCAAGATGGCTGTGGCCAAGGAGCGAGCAGAAGGCTTGGGTTTCCCTGACAATGGAGGAAGCCAAGCTTCCTGGCTGACCCAGGCCTCTACTCCAGGCTACGAAGTTTCAATTATAGAAGGTAAATAAATCTCAGATACCAGGGCCTCAGCTTGGGTCGCTGGGGGGCATGGCCAGCCTGCAAACCACAACAGGCCCCTCACCCAGGCTGCACCACACCCCGAGGGAACTCCCACCCTGATCCAGGACACCCTTCAGGACAAACCAGCTGGCCCCCACCTGTGTACCAGGCCTCTATACTATTTAATAAAAGAGTAATATGCAAATTAACTGTCACTCCAACATACAAGATGGCTGCCCCCAAGTGGTCAAAGATGACTGCCCCAATGTGGACACAATATGGCTGCCACAAGAAGGCCAACAGGAGAGGGCAGTTGAGAGGGATCAGGCCTGCAAGGGAGGGCAGTTGTGGGCGATCAAACCTGCAGGGGAGCAGTTAGGCATCAATTAGGCTGGCAGGGAAGTGGTTAGGGGGTGATCAGGCTGGCAGGCAGAAGCGGTTAGGGGCAATCAGGAAGGCAGGTAGGCGAGCAGTTGGGAGCCAGCAGTTCTAGATTGTGAGAGGGATGTCTGACTGCCCATTTAGACCTGATTCTACCGGGAGGCACCAGGCAGTCGGACATCCCTCGAGGGGTCCAGATTGGAGAGGGTGCAAGCTATGCTGAGGCACGAATTTCGTGCACCAGACCTCTAGTTCTCTAAATAAACCCTTTATTTATTATTATTATTTTTTAAAGCCTAATCAACCATTTGACTGGTAGCTATGATGCGCACAGACCACCAGGGGACAGAAGCTCAATGCACAGGCATGGAAACTGATGAATTTCAGAGGGGAAAGGGGAGGGCGAGAAGAGATTAACCAAATATCTATATGCATACTAGAGGCACAGTGCATCCTGTGCACAGTGCATCACTGGGTTCCCTCAGCCTGGCCTGCATCCTCTCACAATCCAAGACCCCTTGAAGGATGTCGGAGAGCTGGTTTCGTCCTGGTCCCCGGAGGCCAGGCCAAGGGATCCCACTGGTGCACGAATTTGTACACCAGGCCTCTAGTTATACAATAAATAGGTGCAATCTAAAGCTTCTTGTTTAAAATTTTCAAAAACCTAAAATTAAAAAGATGGGATATGTATATGTACTGTTCTAAAATACTTTATTCCTAATAAACACGTTATGGGATATGTACATGTACTGTTCTAAAATATCTTATTCCTAATAAACACATTAATCACCATACCTTTCACAATGAAGATGATCACTATTAATTAATATAAATTGTTTTATTTTAGGTTATACAGCTGTGGCAAAGAAATAGAACCAAACCTTAAACACTGCAAAAACAAATGGAAATTTCTAATACAAAATCAGGATACTAGGAATAAAAACAGAGACACTAAATTTGACATTTTGTTTATTTATAAAAACATAAACATATTTTAGAAATATGAAAGGTAATACACGTGCAACTTAAGTTACAAAAATTCATTGTAGCATTTATAGATATTATAGAAGCATAATAAGTATGTAATTTTAGTAGCAAATACCTCAGACTTTTTGGTAATGCTTTCTACTTAAAAAAAACACTTGGTTATTTCTCATACACTCTAGTTCAGTACTATCCAATAAAATGTTCTGCTATAATGGAAATATGAAAGTCACTAGCCACATGAAATTAATGCACTTTTGAAATGTAAATAGTGCAACTGAGTACCTAAATTTATTTTTTAACTTTAATTTCACTTTTTTTATAGCATGTGGAACAAATAATGTCATATTGGACAGCACAGGTATAGCTGTTTAATAACTCTCCATGGGTAGTAACAGCAAGACCCAAAGTATTTGTATTCCCAGTAAAAAATCAAATAGAAGTATTTATATTTTATAATTTTTCCAGACACACAAGCCTTGTATTTGTAAACATCTACAAGTGTAAATATTTTAATAACTAGAGGCCCTGTGCATGAAATTCATGTGGGGGCAGGGGAAGGAGGTGTTGCTCAGCCCAGCCTGCACCCTCTCCAATCTGGGACCCTCAAGGGATATCCGACTGCCCATTTAGGCCCAATCTCACAATCTAGGACTGCTGGCTCCCAATTGCCAGCCTGATCATCCCCTAACCACTCCCTGCCAGCCAGATTGATGTCTAACTGCTCCCCTGCCAACCCAATTGCCCCTAACTGCCCTCCCCTGTTGGCCTGGTCACCCCTAACTGCCCTCCCCTGCCAGCCTGGTCACTCCTAACTGCCCTCCCCTGCCAGCTTGTTCCCCACAACTGCCCTCCCTGTAGGCCTGGTCCCCCCAACTGCCCTTCCCTGCCAACCCAGTCATCCCTAACTGTCCTCCCCTGCAACCTCATTGCCCCTAACTGCTCTCCCCTGCTGGTCTGGTCCCTCCCAACTGCCCTTCCATGAAGGCCTGGTCGCCCCCAACTTTCCTCCTCTGCCAGCCTCGTCACTCCTAACTGCCCTCCCTGCAGGCTTAATCGCCCACAACTACCCTCCCTTGCAGGCCTGGTCCCTACCCAACTGCCTTCCCCTGCAGGCATGGATCCCCCTCCCACAACTGCCCTTCCCTGCAGGCCTGGTCGCCCCCAACTTCCCTCCCCTGCAGGCTTGGTCACCCCTAACTGCCCTCCCTGCTGGCCTGGTCCTTCCCAACTGCCCTCCCCTTCTGGCCATCTTATGGCAGCCTTCTTGTGTCCACATGGGGGCAGCCATCTTGTGTGTTGGAATGACAGTCAATTTGCATATTACTCTTTTATTAGATAAGAAGATTCCCGTAAGATTTTGTTTGATAAAGGTTCTCCTAAAAAATATAAGCAAATATTGATAAAAGGCTATAAAAGGAGCTCAGGAAGTAATCTGATAAAGGGATAACACTTTATATAAGTGCTGATAAAGCATTATGGAAGTGAAAATTTTAAAATAATTACTACAGTTCTCATTTAATTCTCTCAACAATCCCTGTAGATAGTCTTATCATCATCCCTTGAGCTGACTACGGCTCTGTGTAGTATTCCACTTACCTATACTATTTCTTCCCATCCTCACCACTGGTGGTATTTTAATACAATAATAGCACAATAAAAGAAGGCCCATATCAAGAGTTAGCTGTTTATCCTGTTGGTGTAACTCCCAGAAACAGGTGTACCAAGATTTGAATACAAAGATGCAGTATGGAGCTGAACTTGGGGGAGGAGTGGGCACAACTGGGCACAACTGCAGAGGACTTAAGAATCTTCCTAGTAGCCCTGGCCGGGTGGTGCAGTGTTGCTCTGTACACCAAAAGGTTGCAGGTTTGATTCCCAGTCAGGGCACATACTAGGTTGCAGGTTCAATCCTAATCGAGGCGTGTACGGAAGTCAGTCTCTCTCTCTCTCTCTCTCTCTCTCTCTCTCTCTCTCATCAATAAAAAACATATCCTCAGGTAAAGATTTAAAAAAAAAAGAAGAAAAAACACACCAAGTACCAAACAAGTATTTACAAAATGTGTCCATTATGACATATATCTGACTCATTTATTAGCAAAATCTGATGGTGAAAGAAGGCAAAGAAAACTTTCATCTGCTCCATGGGATCCTATCAGTCTGAAAGGATGCCTGCAAGGGTCTCAGATTTCATCTCAGATCTCAAGTCTCCTATTACCTTCCAACATTGATGGACAAAATGATAAACAAAGATGGATAAAGGCAATATACATTACACAAGGCTAGTCTAGATAATTTAATTGTATTTTGCAAGATGTCAAGTAGCCATAAGTAAAAATTCTAAGTGATGTACATCTGAAGATATGCTTTGACAAATACCCAGATCTGCTGGATCATAGTAAAATATATAGGGCAAATGTCTTCAGAGAAGTGTGCACAGGCAATCTAAGTCACAATCCTTTGGTCACATAACCCAATCACTAGGAAAAAATTTCTGATTCCAATTCTACATTAGTATTTCAGACAGTTGAGATATACAAACCTAGAACCATTGCAAATATCACTAATTACTAATTGATCTACCACTTAGGAGGGTCAAACTATTATGATAGGCATTTCAATTAGTATACTTTAAGCACTTTATGTGCCAAGCAATGTGCTAAGGTTTGAACAAGAATATCTTTTTTAATTTTCACAACAGATTTTTGAAAGGTAATATGTTAGTCTTTTGAATTTTATGGTTGAAAAAAGGGAAGGCTAAACAAGTTAAGAAATGTTCTTAGATCACACAGCTATCAAATGGCAGCTACAATTCAAATACAGGAAGCTGCCTCCAAAGCCTGTACAGCTGTACTATTTAATAATGCGGATTTTTTCAATAGATGGAGTTACACATATGTTGATACATATACGATTTGATATGTATGCTATTTTGTTGTATTGAAAACAAGCTTCAAAATTTCACATGTCAAATTTGCTCAAGGTGTTAACATCATGGTTATTTTTACGCTTAAAAATGTCAAATTTTGTGCCCCAAAAAGTGCATTTGTGGGAAGTTTGAATTCATTACTTTATTTTAAAGAAAAGTGCTGCTGAATATTTTGTAAAGCTTATGGTGAACATGCTTCATCTTAAGAAACTTGTGAATGCCGTTAAAATGCTTTAAAAGTGATGATTTCAATGTAAAAGACAAAGAATGTCCAGATCAACTGAAAAAGTTTGAAGACCAACAATTACAAACATTATTGGACGAAGATGCATATCAAACTAAAAAGCAACTTGCAGAAAGATTAAACGTTACTCAACAATTTCTGATCATTTATAAGCAATGGGAAGGATTT